GGATGTTGGGGTTAATGGTAAATTACCTGAATAATTAGGACTTCACCCGATTACAATCACTACTTTTTGTTATTAAATTGATAGCATTTACAATCTCTTAAATGTGTATGAATCAGGGATGCGAATTGGAGACAAACGAAGACTTACAATTCCACCGTCAATGGGGTATGGATTTCTATGGTTAAATAAATTAGTCATTTTCTTGTTTTTGCAGGACTATTCTATGGTTGTCTAATGTCAAGTCTAGGTCATCAAACTTGGTTCCATTTTTTGGCATTACAAGATGCACTACTTCTTTCTTGTTCGATCTTTTATAACAAAATATTGGCTGGTTTTGGTTGCTCAATCAAAAGTTTATGATCAAATTTGTTTACTGCTATCTTTGTCTTTGTTTCATGTATAATTTTTTGATGCAGCTACGGGGCACGTGGTGCTGGTGGGAAGATTCCTCCAAACTCATGGCTTCTGTTTGATGTGGAATTGGTTGATGTTCGCTAATTAGCCTACCTATGTTACACAAGGTTCACCGGTCATGAGATTTGGTTCGCGGTCAATTTTGTTTTCGCTAAACTAAATCATGGCACTATCTGGCTTCTTTTAGCATGTTGGTTGTATTAGCATTTATACCTGTGTAGAAGGAATTGATAATACTTGAGACAGTAATTTTATAATGTTATACTTTCAAGAGAATGAATATACGCCACTCGATCACTTTTTATTTCGATATTATGTCCGATCCTCGTTGAAATGATCTTGAATATGTGAGAGGGCGATACCTTTCTCAGCCTTTTTGGCTAATTGAAGGGTATGCGAGAGGGGGAGAGCAGAAATAAAAGGTGAAACCACACAAGTGTGAACTTGTGGTTTATCTAATGACTAATGCAATCGGTAGAGTTTTGCAGCTATGTAGCAGATTCTGTTAACTTCTTCGTTCTTTTTCCCCCCCTCTTTTTATGATTCTGATTTTGGGTTTTTTTTTTTCTTTCTCTATCTAAATTGTAGTGGAGATTTCAGACGGAAAAGATTGGAGCATAAGCAATATTTGATGGTAAAAAGCGTGCTCTTCCTGTCCTTGTTTTAGCTCGGATCGGATTTAGACAAAAAGAGATCATGTTGAAGAAAATTGTTAAGATCAATTTGAAAAGGTCCAATTCAACTACAAAACTCAGAAAAGGGTGACTTTGGTGGAGATAATATCAGTAGTGGGTGTGGTTAGTTGAAGCAAAAAAATGAGGCCTAAGATGGCTCAAATTGACTTGGAAGGTTTTCATTCCAACAATTTTTTAGCACTCGAGTTACTAGACCTACTTGCTAATTTATGTAAAAGGATCATTTTTACCGAGTTATTTCAACTGATTATTGTTTTAAAGCTCAGCTCCTATGAGTAATGTCCCTTCTGGATAAAACTTGTAGCGAGCAGAACAGATTTTTTTTTTTTTTAATAAGATGCCATCTACAAGACCATAATCCTGGTGAAAAGCACCATTCCCTATAGATAATTTTTTCTTTTTAAAAGAAACCTGATAGATAGAAATGAAAAAAGTTTTTATATATTTTTTGAATTGTGAGTACTCTTACATTAAGAGTGTGTTATTACTCAAATTTTATTGAAATATAAGTATCGTTCACTTTTTAAATACATTATAAATTTAATAATTTAATTTATTAATATATTAATAAAATTATAATAATTAAATTAATTTTAATTTCAGTAAATTATGACATATTCAAATTAAAAAAATATTATTATAATTAAGTTTATTTGATTGAAGTGATTATAACAAAGTAAAAATCCTTTTTTCAATAAAAAAAAAATAAGAGGTTGTTAGTCAAAATATTTTAGGTGTCCATGGTTAGAGTGGCATTTTATCGTCTAAGAAATTAGATGTTTGGTTCACTGAATATTTGTGCAGTGCTAATATGATGATAGAAATTCTAAAGCCAAGGCGTTAAATGAGAGCTGTGTGGTGGCTCTCTAGGCCAAGTAAACAATTATAATCAGGTATATACCCTCAAATAATTTTACTGCAAAAGGGAAAGCCGTTGAGCGGCATAAAAAAACAAATTAGGATGCTTACATGGAGCGGCTTCATGATCAAATCTCCTGAAGGCCAAGAGAGGGAAATAGAGTCCTAAACTGAAGAGGAGAACACAAAATAACATCTTTGCTCATTGACGCATGAAAACCAATTATTTCTTGATTGGGTTTTAAGCCTCACCGTCCGAGCACACCACATTGATGATGCCATAGTTTTCTGAAACTTCACCCTTTTTAAAAGCAAATAGAAGCTTATTAGATACTGCGAGTGAGTATCTCCTAGTAAGTTGTACTGTGCTCTGAATTTGCTCCAGCATAGAAAGCAGCAGACCCAACTCTTCTTCGATCCTCAGAAGCTGTATGCAATTATATCCGACAATTTAA